GCCAGTGCCCTGAGGGCAAGGTCTCCTCTGTCTGCTGACGGTGCAGGGCCCGCTGCCCATCAGACTCCTCTTCTCCCAAAACCTGGTGCAGTCACGGTAGCCCTCACACCATCCACTGATGGGCTGTCTCATCTGGGCGATGCTCAGGCTCAGCTCCCCTGCATTTAATTGGTATTAAAGATTAAAAAGCAAATTACCAAAGCAATCACACAGATCCACTTGTCTATATCTCGCCACGGCTCCCAAGCAGTTTGATATTTACTGTCAGCTGGCATTTAATTACTCAGCCAGATTTGCAGACCATAATTGACAGAATGCTGAAGACTAATTCTTTCAAAGGACGCTCTCCCCATACGATAACACTCGGGCTCAGAGGCAACACCATCTCTGCTCCAAAGATCATTGAGACATACATGGGCACAGATTGATCCCCTCCTTCCCCCACTACTGTTCTGGGAGCTTTAGGTCCTCAGGCCTGCAGTACTCAGTGGGAAAATGCAACAGAGCTACTGGTACAGGAAGCATTTCCCCTTGCTAGTCGCCAAATCCAAACCAGTCCCCAATCTAGGGAAATCGCCTTGAGCCTAGAGAAGGACCTCCCTGGAGGCTGAACTGCACAGCCATTGATCCACTTCTCCCCCAGGTGCAAAGGGAGAAGTCCAGCAGAGAAACAGGAGGCCTCTGTCTGATTCCGTGTTTCTGAAACGTCCCTGCACAGGGTGAAAGCCCAGCTCACGTCTCAGGTCATGGGACCTTCCTAATCCTGCATCGATTACCTCATGCACCATTTAATAATTTAGACATCTCAAACCGAACTAGGCCAAGAAGCACAACACAGAAAAGAGGCTAATGCAGTTCTAAGGAAATGGGGAAGAGATATTAATGGAGCAGTTATTTTTCTTTCTACTCTTTCAAGGTCGCCATTCAGTACTGCTCAGGGCTGTAGGAAAAGACAGAGGTCTTAACACAAAACGAGCTGGGGCACACTGGTAAAGAACTCCAAGACCAGACAGGGGCAAATTTTCAAAAAGGAGAAATAAAATGTCCCTGCATGTTCTTAATTTCAACTAGTGAATCAACAAGGTCAAGTACCAATTTGGGTAAATACACTTTGGCTTTCAGGAATTTTTTTCTTAAAAAAAAAAAAATTAACTCAAGGGAAAAAAAAGTATTTTTTAAGAAAGGTAGAAGAACTAAGACTGAGAGCAAAGCTTAACTTTGGACAAATCGCTTTGTTGGGAACTTGCTCTGCACCAGGAGTTGGTACTGGTCTCAGCCTCACCCTGCGCTCGAATCCTAAGCCTTTTCTTTTCAACATTCGGAAACTAGGTTCTGTCACCAACACATCTGAATCTGAACATGGTCAAACTCTCCAGGCCTGGATGAAGTAGCAAGGTTAGGGATTTTATAAACTAGTTTGCCTACAAGCCATCTGTCTTTCCGTGGGGCCAGGATGATGGGGACAATTTTGGATGCTCCCCTGAGGGCATGGAGGAGTGGGTGTGGCCAGTGCCTGGGCAGCTGACTGGTGCTCAGATGCCCCTGTCCGGGATCAGATACCCTGACTGGCTTCAGCTGCTCCGCCTGTGCCCTCGCCCACAGCTTCCCTGCCCTGAAGGCTCCCACACGCCTCTTCCCCAGAAACCTCCTAGCAGGAGGTGTGGCCAAGCAGTCCTAAAGGAAGTTTATCTCTAACTGGCTGATTGCCTATCTAAAGAAATTACCTAAAGAGCAAATGTGGCCTATTCTTTTCAGACCTCTGTGCCTTACAGCACAGAGGCCCCGACAAGCCACACTCCCCATCTCTAGGGGCTCTATGTGTGGCCCGGAAACCCCCAGCCCCTGGGAGGAAGCTGGCACGTCCTCCTCTCCCACTCATGGTCTGGGCGTAGCTTCTACTCTTGCTCCCAATGCCACCAGGCTGGCATGCTGAAGACCCATGACATTCGGATGTCCACAAAGAATCGTTGTTTAGTCGCCAAGTCGTGTCCGACTATTTGCGCCCCCATGGACTGTAGCCTGCCAGGTTTCTCCGTCCATGGGATTTCCCAGGCAAGAATACTGGAATGGGTTGCCATTTCCTTCTCCAAAGCATCATTCTGACACCGGGATCTAATCTGTGTCTCCTACATTGGCAGACAGATTCTTTACCTGAGCCACGAGGGAGGCCCTCCACAAAGAATATGTGCTTTAAAAATCATTCTTAATAAGCATTCATCTACAAATAACGTAAAAACCAGAATCTCCATTTTAAAAAATATAATCCCAAGCACTATTAACATTTTGATGTGCTTCTTTCCAACGTTTTTTTAAAAAAAAGCTTATGTTATAATTATGATATATTTATTTTTGTACTCTGTATTTTTTACTTAATTTTATGCAAGCATTTCCCCCACTGAAAAGTATTCAAAACGTCCATTTTAGTTAAAACATAACACTTCTATAGAATGGAGTCACCCCTGTTTACTTAATCATCCCCCTATTGTTGGGTATTCAAGCAGTTCCACTCTTTTCACTATGATGAATAACCTGGAATGAACACCTTTGGACATAAATCCTTGACCTCATCATTGATTACATTCTTGGGTTTCCATGAATAGAATTATTGAGTCAAAGGGTGAACACGTGAAAGTTCTTAAAATAAATTGCCAAATTCAGATACAGAAATGTTGCTTCAATTGATACTCCCACCCACATGTATTATCTTCATGTTTAAAAGTCTTTAATAATCTGATAGCCCCCAAATGGTGTATCACCAGGTATTGATCTGTTTCTTTGTGGGTTTTTCCCACCATTCCAATGCTGAGAAAGACTGTGCTCATTCAATCAGCAGAAAAATAACCACCTCCATATCATTGTTTTCCAGGGGTTCATCATCTGACTGAATTCTACAATCTATGAGAAACTGGCGACTATGGCAAGAGCACTCTGCTCTTGCAGCGGAGCCCCCTTTGTCCGCTCCCCTCTGCATCCTTGTGGAGGGGTCTGTTCCCTGCTCTTCCGTCCAGATCCCACCACAAGCAGGTGCCCTGGCACGTGGCCCCTCTTCCCCTTGCCCTCTGCACTCCTGCCCTTCCATCTCAAGCTTTCATTCTGGTCTGCTCCTCTGCCCGGCAGCTCCATGGGAGCTAGCCCCTCTGGCAGACCGGGGGTGTTCAGTGCTGCCAGGGACTTACCTGAGCAAGCCCACAGCCCAGGTGCAACGAGGTAGCCAGCCTGGTTTCCCAGCAGATCCAGACCTATACTCCTCACCCAGTCCTCACATGCGTAGCACTGATCCCCATCTTTCTGACTCTATGTCCAGCGCTCACTCCTTTTGAATGTGGGCAGTGAAGAGGAGGTTGTTTGTTAAGCCCCAAATTTAAATGGGTTTCTAGCTAAACAATAGTTTCCTTCCTCACCAATCAGTGAGTCTTCCTTTATTTTATATCTTTGAATATTCATTAAACTTTGAATATTTATATACTTAAATCTGGAGGATTTACTCTATTGCATGATCTATTCGAAGCCTGGTGGGCTACAGTCCATGGAGTCACAAAGAGTCGGACACGACTGAGTGACTTCACTTTATTTATTTATTTTCACTTTTTATGATCTATTCATGATATTGGTTCATCCTATCATATACTAGAGATACTGTTTAATATGATAATATTTATGCCATTCTATTTATGATACTGGTTCATAACTCAGTATCATATGGATTTACAATATGTTTTACCACTTGTGTTTTGAAAGGTGCAATGATGATATTCATCTGAATTGTCACAGAGAAGCCCTCAGGACAGTGACCCCGAAACTCTGCAGCACATTCCAATCACCTGAGCAGGTTGTAAAAACAGTAACACTCAGGTTGCACTCAGTGCCTCCAATGAAATCAGAATGTCTCAGGGTGGAAACCTTGTCCACATGATTCCAAAGCACAGTTTAGGAACTACAGCCTCAGGAGAAGATGGTGCAGAGCTGGGAGGCGAGAGGTTTCCAGCCAGGCTCTCCCCTACAGTCCTTACCAGCAGGACCAGCACAGGGGTACTAATACCTTATCATGACTTCCCATGCTGGAAACAATGGTCCATTAATAAAAGAAAGTCTTTTCAACAGTCTCCACCACCCAAAAGAAATATACTCAATTTAGCTGTAAACCCTGCTAGACAGTTCAGCATCTAATGACACAGGCTGAGGATTCTCTGGGGTTTATGGGCTAGGACAGACTATGGAAAAGTAGACCAGTGCTATACACAGACGCTCCACAAAAGCAGGATGCTTAGACCCAGAAATTAAGAATAAACCACTAAATAATTACAATATGCCTCCCTTTTACCAATTCAAAGTATTATGACAAAGCTGGAAACAACTTCTAACATTTGCACAGCCTTCAACTTGGTCCAGGCTACAGGAAAAAAGCCCAGAATTTTTATAGCATATTCCTCTTAAGGAGTCATCTCTCCACCCCCAGCCCCAAATGTGCATCTACAATTTTAGCCTTCTGTGCCTCTCTGTCATTGCATCCATGTAGGCCAGAACCACCAGGCTTCCTCAGCCCCCCAACGCTGGACAGTGTCTGCTGGGGCAGCACCTGCCACCATGCCCGAGCCCCACTCTGAGAACCCCCGGGGGCTCCCTCCACCCTCCAGGGCTCCCTTAACCCGAAGACGGCTCCCGACTTGGCATCATCTTCAGGATCGCGCCCAGGCTGGACCCACGCTGGCTGCACCTCAGGATGCCCTCCTTCAGACAAAGGACAGGCATGCCCATGCTGTGCCCCTGCCCTTAGAGCTGCCCAAGGAACCCAGCCTCCTGTCCAGAGCTAGGCTTTGATCCCAACCCCCTCACTCAGCTCCCATACTCTCCTATCTGCCCCTGTTTCCCCAGGCTTCCTATTTCCCTCAGCACTTTGTATGCCTGGGGAGTGGGGTGGGGGGGCACTTTGTATGCCTGGGGAGTGGGCCCCCCCCCCCGGCCGCGGGTGGCGGCTGACTCAGCACTTCTTGGGAACTCACTGGGGCTGGCCTGACTGCCCCCAGACCCCTTCTCTTTGGAGCTCATGCCGCTCCATTATAGTGTTTCCTTTTGCACCTTGCACCACCACACAAGACAAAGCTGTCAGCACCCCCGGCTCCCCTTTCTTTCCATCCGGGGCCTGCCTGAGTACAGCAGCACCGGGGTTCTGTCACATCCCCCTCTCCCACACCCATGCTCCCCACCTGTCCCTGAGCCCTCGCGTTCACACTCACAGCCGCCGGTCACCCAGGGACAGGGCCTCCGGTCCCCCACGTTCTCCAGCGCTCCAGGCCTGCATCTCTGCCGGACATCCTCCGTGAACATTTTAAGGTCCTGAATTCCAAGATTCCAACGCCAAATGCTTTCACTTCCCCTGCTCCTCTGCTGACACTCTTGCTCTTCCACGACGGCCAGAAGCCACGGTTGCAGTGACAACAGCAGCAAGTGATGGCCCAGGACGCGGCCACCAAGTTGGTGGGGGAGTGCGGGGCCCAGTCCGGAGCTGGGCTGTCTATGTAGATCATCGCACTCAGGTCCTTTACAGCAGCGAGAGCTGAAGCTTCAACAAGCCGAGCACCCGCTGCAGGTGACAGGTGGAACTACCTGTCTGGGCGCCTGGCCACTGCGGACACTGACCCCCGTGGACACCGGCCCCAGCTTCTCTCCCCGCATCCCGGGACCAGAGGGCGTGGCCGTGCGGACAGCTCCGCCCCCCAGACGAATTATGCAGGCCGCGTCACAACCGGTTTCTCTCTCTGCCTCGCTCCGTTTACGCCTGGGCCTTGTTACACATTGAATCGAGCTCCCCTAAGAAAGTCACGAGGAAATCCTAATTCCCAGTAGCTCGTACTGTGACCTGAGTTAGGTAGGCTTCAGAGAAGTCAGCGAATGAAAACGAGGTTATTAGGGTGGCGCTTAACCCAATATGACTGGTGTCCCGATTACAGGGGTAAATATCGGGCACAGACGCGTGCACAGGGAAGATGCCATGCAAAGCCTGGAGAGATGACGCCACGAGAGAGAGACCCACGGGGAAGCTGGGAGAGAGGTCTACGCAGAGCCTTCCGGAGGCCTTCAAGGGAGGCTGCCCACACCTTGACCTCCACCTCCTGGTCTCCTGAAACCTGCAGCAAGAAGTGTCTGTTTTCCTGACTTCCAGTTTGTGGTCGGCTTGGACGGCGACCCTGGGATGTGTGTTCCACCGTCCTCAGCCAGCTGGAGGGAGGACACAAGAGGGGGCTTCTCGGGAAATCTGGGAGAAGCCCCTCCACCTCGTCTGCTGGCTATGGGAAAAGAGCACGCTGCCACAGGCTGATCCTGGGGACCCTCATGCAAGCGTTGGGGGGGCAGGTCCAGGAGGGATGCTGGCAGTGGGGGGACACGGTCCCTAGCCCCTGTGACAGGCTGCAGCAGCAGGCATGCTATCCCTGTTCTTGGAGGGCTTGGAGGGCTGACTTGTCCTGCCCTAGGACCCACAGTTAACACTTGGCAGCGATGGGAATTGAACCCAAGCCCAGCCCAGCCCAAGTCCAGTGCTCTGACCCACCACCCAATGTTAGACTTCCACTTAACAGAAGTGGTCTGGGCTGCTCAGGGCTGTGGATCTTCTCTGCTACTGCTAGCTCTTCACCTTCATCTCTCTGTGTTCTAGCCCACTCCTGGCTTGTTCCCATAACCTGGACTCTAACACAAATAAGCCTTTTTCTTCTTAATCCTGTGCTTTGCTGCTAGCACCGGCCTCTGGCCCCAGCCTCCGCTGGCAGCTCCCAGTGGGCAGCAAGTCTGGGCAAGCCGTGATCCTTTGTTCCCTGCCGCCTGGGGTCTCCGCCCAGGCGGAACCCCTTCCTCACCCTCTACCAGGTCTACCCCTGCCCCACTGTGCTTCACAATATAGTCATCCTCACTGTCACGCCCACCCTGGAGTGCAGCCACCGGGATGGCAGGGCAGCGCTGTCTCTGAGTCTCTCTGTCCTGACTTGGAGTGGAGGCCTGGTGAAAATCAGGGCGGCATCTCAGAGCTTCCCCTCATCATACAGGTCCCACTCATTCAGCAAACACTTGAACCCTACTGTGTTCAACAGGATAGCAAATGCCCCTGTCCACACAGAGCTCCCTATATAGAGGAGAATGCAGATGCGAGAGAGAAAGAAATACACCAGGCTTATTTAAGGAAAGAGAAATGGTTCCATATGTTTGGTACAAGCAGTCGTACGAGATGCAGTTGGAGACATGAGTGAACATCATGGGCGCCTCACAAGCCATGTTAATCACCTGGCATGTAACATGTGTTAAACCGTTCCACATTCCCCACTAGAGCACACGTGAATGGAGTTTAGCTTCCCCGCCAGAAGGGGAACAAGACACCCAAAGACACTGGGTGACAGCCAAGCAAGTCCCAGGGCAGATGCTGACGTTCAGTGGGGCTCTGCCTTCCCAGACTTGCGCTTCTCCTGCAAGTCTGCTGGCACAGCTGGTCCAGGGAGAGATAAAACCTGACTCTGAGAAGCTGCTTCCTCTCACCTCCACTGGACTGGCCCTGACCCTGCTGAGCTGTAGGGCGCTGGGCTGTGAGACCTGCAGGAAGTGAGTCTTTTGATGTTTTCAAAGGTCGGACCACAACGCTCCCCTGTGGAATGTCACTCAGCTAAGGCCGAGAATGTTTCAGCTGCTGGGAGAGCCAATTAGAGCCAATTATAACCCAACTAACCTCCCACGACACCAAAATTCCTTGTAGAGCTTGTCTGGGCTTCTTGCAAAAATAGTGTGCATCTGAGCCTGACTTCAGCATACAGTGCAGCCCAGGATAGAAGCCTCTGTGCTCAGCCCTCATCCATTCCAGCTCTATCTGACCACTCACTAGGCTAGTTTTAATCACTGAGACTCAGACCCATGCCCAGAGAGTCAGTTTCAAATGATCAGAGGCGCAGGCATCAATATTTTTAAAAATATCCCCAGGGTTGAAAAACAATGATGTGTATGAATTTACCCACAGAGACCACTGGGGTCTCTGAAACCCCACCTCTGCCCCTCCTTCTTCATTATAGATAAATTTTCTGATTTTTCTGGATTAGTTGGCACTTGCTTCTTCTAACATCAGATCTTTATTTTATATTTTTATTATTCACTCATTATTTTTATCATATATGTCTTTTACATATATGTTCTACATATATTTTGCATTTTCATTTGATTTTATTCTTTCTTAACAAAATGTATTTCAGATATCTTGAACTAAGCAAGTGAACAAAGTAAGCTTTTTAAACCTGTCTTCCAGGATAGTTTTGAAATTTATTTCTTTTTATTCAGTTAACAGAAAACTGAGTCCATAGCATCTGGAAATATACTGGCACATGCTTGCTATGAGTATGAATATTTTCTTGTATTTATCTACAAACAGATATCCTTACTTCTCATACATACACAAACATGACACACACACACAATTTCCCATAGCACAAATTCTTGTCAAAGAAGATATCCAGTAGGAAATAATTCTTAAAGAAATAAATTAATGAATGCACAAATGGATAGATGTACAGAAGCTGAAACTAAAAGATAAAAAAAAAACATGTATTCACATATATAGATATAAGCTTATATGTAAATACAACCTTATTTCCCATTGGCGTAGGATACGAGGACATCTGTGATAAATTTCAAATTCAATGGGCATATGTAAATAACTGATGGATGCATATAGCAGAATATGAGCTTAAATTGTTAAATGTTAGTGTCCCACATTGTGCCTTTAATAATTATGATGTAAACAAAACATTTCCTTAGTGATTAAGTAGGTGTTTCCAAGATGAATAATACAGTGTAACAGGATTCATTAGACTCCATGTTGAAAAGTGGAAAAAAAAAAAAGTAACTTTCAGAACAAACAGTTCAGATCATGAGAACAATTCCAGACAACAGGAGAAAAAATTGAGTCCCTTAATTTTATTTTTCTTTTCTTTTTTTTTTTTTAATGAGTTTTGCTGTACTGTGGGCAGGAGAAACTTTTGTCTTGTTACCACTCAAAGACTTGAATCTGGTTTGGAGCAGCAGCACTTTCTTTAACCTAAACCTCAAGCGGAAAACCACTGTCTGTGGGACTCAGCTGCCCTGCCTGAGGACAAGGTGGGCTCAGAGTCCATGGCACCAGCTTGCCTCCCCACAAAGAAGCTCAGCAAGGAGGCCAGCAACCTCTCTAAGTGACTCTCAGGCCAGCCACACAGCAGAATTACCCGGTAAGGCTTCTTTAGAACATCACCTTCTGATCCCACACCAGAGGTTCTAGTTTAATGGGGCTGAAACGGGATCCGAGCACTGGTGTTTTTCCAAAGCTCCCCTGGTGCTTATGAAGGCAGCCTTGGTTGGAGCCACCATCTGTTAATAGAACAACTACCCTTATATAGGGCTTCCCTTGTGGCTCAGCTGGTGAAGAATCCGCCGGCAATGCGGGAGACCTGGATTCGATCCCTGGGTTGGGAAGATACCCTAGAGCAGGAAAAGGCTAGCCACTCCAGTATTCTGGCCTAGAGAATTCCATAGACTGTATAGTCCATGGGATTGCAAAGAGTTGGACGCGACTGAGTGACTTTCACAGACACACACACTGTTATATAAGAACAGAAGTAAGGCCCAGGACGTGCAGTGACACAGCAAAGACAGCCCAGTCAGGGTCCTGCCAAGCCTGGAACCCCTGTTTCTGAACTCCCATCCGGGGTGGCACGGACTCCCAGGAGGCCCTCAGAAGCACGCGTCTCTGATGAATGACCCCCAGTCTCGGATGAATGACCCCCAGGAGAGCTGATGTTACCAGTGTGGGAAGGAGGGAAGGTCCATGTGATCCCTAGTCACAATGTCCACTTTTCCCCCGCAACACGTGGTCATGAGCAGCAGAGACCCATCATGCGAGGTTCTGATTAGGAAGGTGGCTGGAAGGACAGTGTGAGAAGCAAAAGTTTAAGGGGGGTCTTGGGGAAAGAAGAGCCACCTGATGAGTGACAGCGGCCATGACAGACTATTTCACACGCACCCCCTCCCTTTGCACTCCCACAAGCCCGTGAGAGTGATAACCATCTGGTTGAGGAGCCTTCCAGCCTGAGCTCTTGGAGAGGCTCAGTAATTTGCCCAAGGCCACTGAGCTTGAGTCAGCTGAGCTGGGCCTGTCTGATACCAGGGTCTGAGTGCTTAACCCCTGAAAAAGTAAATGGAAAACATCAAACAACTCATGTGCCTTGATTTTCGGGCACCATCCTGAAACCCGTGGTCCTGAGGGGATATCCACATCTTCCCTCCATAAAATCCAGAGCCAAAAAAAAAAAAAATCAAACCCATATCTCTCTCAATTCAAGAAAGTATTAAACTGATAAATTATGAATTAAAAGTCCAAGTTACTCAGTCTTGTGTCCAGAAATCCCATCTCCTGGCTACAAAGACCCTTTGAGCTTTGAACAAAGCATTGCTATAAATGAGTCACATTAGCTCACTTTGTTTTGTGTGTTTATTTATTATTTGTTCTCGTTACCTAGAAATCTATATTTTAACCCTAATTGTCTCCCTGCGGTAATGATTAAGGCATGACTCTGAGATTTGCATTGCAAACACCATGAGGCCCTCAACGGGAGCAGATGAATTCTGAACTTGGCATCTACCAGTATTTATTGCTTCATTTCTGTCTTCCCAGCTTCATTTTGGGCCAAATTTGTTAATATATTTTTCAAGTTCTGAAAGGATGGGAGCGGATGGAATTCAGGATCATGATCTCAGAATTACATGGACTCTACCCAGTAGATCAAAATTGAACTTTTTATTGCCGG